GCCCAAGTTCCATCGCCGTCGCACTATTTAGGGGTAGAGGAGGTGTCCTATGCAAAACAATGACCACCCTATTTTAAAAGGCCTAAAAGAAAAAACGGACCCAACTAAATAGAGTACATGGATAATAATGGCCATACACAAAAAAGCCGTCACACCAAACATGTTAACCACAGAAATATTAGTTTAAATCCAGTGGTGACAAAATTACTGGCCTCAGTACTCGTTCCTGGACTTACTGCGGAATCGGAACACGAGATTAAGAAAGAGCAGCCAGATTTGCCTTGTACTGGTTTGTGTAGATCATATATTCACTCAGCGGTAAGTGCTAGAGCAACACGTAACCAAGACTGGCAATAGCTGTGGTATTGAACTTCAACAGTGAGTTCGCTTAAGTCAATCGATCCATTTCGTTTGAAGAACTTGAAAAAAATCGGTTCTGATGAGACAGGTAAACCCTTTAGCTGTCATGTACTCGAACAACACTTGCCGTCTCAGACTCTATTGTGAATTGTCGAAAGTCTTCCTGACAAAGTTGGCCTTGTCAGGGTAGCCTAAATTCCCCGCTTTTATTCAACTTTGTTATGGACTTTATCATGACTGTTCTCTTAAGGAATGGCGAGGTGCAGTTGTTGAGGTGATTAACGTTGAAAAAGTAGTTGAGCTCGATTATGCCGACGATAAATTTTTACTGTTTACCGGCGTTGGGGCCCACCATTTAGCATGCGCCTAGCACTATCGCAATGCGCGGCGTCGTTGCAAGAATACTAGCCTTTTAAGGACCCCTGACCCTTTATAGAGAGAAACTCAAAGTAGTTGAATTAGTTCCGCACAGTGGCATCTGCATCAGCAACAATAGGCGTACGGCCATTAAATTCAGTTTACGTATTGCAAAAGAAAGAACTGCCTTCTTGAATCTGCCAGGTTTGTAGCGTATAAAAGGCGTTTTGCCGATCTATCAGGTCATGTTTACAAGGCCATAAAAATAGTTGTTCTACCCTTAGAGAGTGCGACTTTTCCAGTTAGATCTGAAAACTTTCGGCGGCTTCATGTTTTCTATCATGGTTGTCTGCGAACCATTGCTGGTGTCGGATGGCATCCGGGTATCCTAAAAGTTGATGTGTGTAGACAGTGATAATCAGAAAACTTCCAAAGGTCAAGGAACATTATTGAATACGTTGTGTTAGCTTGGGCACGTACGCATGTCCGGTCACTGCGTACAGAGGACGACCTTGTTTCTTTTGCCATGTGTAGAGTTGCGCATGACTTATGGTAGTTAAAAGTTAACTTGGCAGCAGGAAATGAAGTTATTGTCTATAAAACTGTATGCTGTTGGTCCATTTTGCCTTTCAGGCTGTACTTCACGTGGCTCGCCTTCTGCCTGGCTTAAAATGTGACGGAACATAGCTAGCCGTCCGCACCATTAGCGCGTTCTGCTGTCGTATCTAAGTCAGTTTGCCTGTTTAAAGTGGGTTTGGTACTTTTAATGACTGATTGTGATGCATAGCATTTAAAATCTTATGGAGAATGTTTCGCCAATTCCGCCTTATCATTGCATGATAACCAGCTGCTGTGGCAGTATGTTGTTGACAGGATGTAGTTACCTTGAGCTTGAATGTTTTCTTACAGAAGTTGAGTTTTTCGCTAGTTCACCTCCTCCCCCACCCCACCCCTTTATTATTAACTATTCTTTAGGTTTTTGGGCTGCGTGGTAGCGGGTATTAGTACTGTTGTTGAGATTTCTTTGTATAATTGAGCCATACTTGGCCACGGTTGTTAAAGAGTTAGCCATCCTGAATTTCAGTTCTAGCTCTTATCTTTCACGATCCATAAAATTAAACTTATAATACCTGCGGTGCCTCTAATAAGATCAGTCGTTCAGCCTTTTACCACATGGAAATGCATGATTCACCGTGCCTTTTAACTACCCATATGTGTTGTGGATTGACAACCAGATCACTTGCGCTTTCTTAGTCAGTCAAGTTACTACGCTGTTCCCCGCTCGTTCTTACTCGCTTGTACTTCTTATCAATACACCATTGGTCCAGCATCTGTGGATCCGCACCGTATTCCCGTAGGTTTCAAACTTCTTAAGTGTCATAACTTGCGACTGGCAGCACTCAGCAAACGTTATCTGTCGGTTATATCTAGCGAAATATTGCAAATGTATATGTGTGTCCTGATGTATACCTGTTGAGGTATAGTTGAGGCAATGCAAAGAATCCATGTCAATGGGAAAATATGCTTACTAGGCACCGTAGTAAGAGAAACTTTGTACGACCTCAAACATCGCTTTTACTTATATTAACCGCATTATTATGGCAGCTACAAACCTAAAGGCCAAATACTTCACCGTATTCCGCAGCAATCTGGAAATTTCTCCAATTTTCACTATTCTATGGTGTTAAATATAACTAAAACTGCCGTTTTATTGCACAATTGTGTGATCGGTGCAGCATGTCGCACTACTTGTTGAGTGCGATTGGTTGAATCTAGTAAGGTTTTTCCTCTAGGCACTTCCGTCGGCTTTCTTTGCGTGACTGCATCGCTTGCTGCATCTTTCCTTTTTTTGCTAACAGCAATCTTCGACGTCGTTTCTTTATAGCTAGTATAATGGGAGCCTTCTACAGTGCAAATTAAATACTCCTCTAAGTCCATTTTTTTCTAAAGCCAGAATTTGGCCTGCTGCAATGTGTACACGTCCGCAATTTGTTTAAGTTTTACCCTTTTACGTTTAGAAATGTACGTTCTGCTATTGCGTAGAAGTTTTAGAAAATAGTTGTTGTAAATATTCCAAAACATATTGGCCAACGGTGTCAAAAATTTTGCAGCGGCCATCTCAATCTTCTTAATTAGCAAATGTTTAATTTCATAAGTATGTCAAGTGCATAGTTATCACTGAACGTTTATCCACTATAAATAAGGCAGCATTTCTGCTATTAAAGATATATACCAAGTAGTGTTTATTATTCTAATAGGTTAAGAACGGAGTAGAACGGCGTGCAAATGACCTACCTTTATTATTATTATTATTACTATTATTATTTATATATTAGCTTCAAAGTGTAACTACCTAACGGATACTGACTTGTACGTGCGTTGTTACACAGCCTATCATCAAAGCGCTATGAGTTCATTTTTCAGAGCAAGAATAACCTTAAGTTGGTGTAAACTAGAATAAAGAAGCTACGTTACAACAATGGTTATTTCATTTGCCAAAAACAGTAGAACTGGTCGCCACAAAAGTCAAAACGCTCCTGCAGGTTGAACATTAAGCAGTTACAATATTTGTGGTTGATTTTTACATTAAATCTCCTTTTAGGTATAAATTCGAACTCTGTTTGCACTGATATTATACTGCTTCGCTAACAGTTATAACAGTTATAAGTAAAGTAAAACAAATCGGCAAGAAGTAATTCAAATAAGCCAATAAAATACGCTGTCTAAGGCAATATCACAATTATTATTTCTGTAACTAATTAAACAGTGATAAAGAATCTCACACAGATTATGCGTGCAACTGATATATCAAACATGTACACAACTTAGATGTTCTGAACCAAAGTAAGTAATGAACTGCCAAACAAGCCACCTCATGTATTCATTCCAGCGTTATCGAACGAAGGTGTTTTTATTGTGTTCAGCGCAGGCCAGATAAACTGGGATAGGGTAAAATGTAAACCATAACCGCAGGCGTACTTGTACAAACAATTATTTATATAAACAACTATCGATATGTGTGTTCAAGTGGTAGAATTCAAACGGGAACCCCAGTGTTCACGGGCCATTTATTTTCTGATTTATGACGCTTGCGTTAAAGACTTATGTTTAGTTTCCCACATAGGTTTTGTATCATTTACTTGAACTACTTCGTAAGCTGTTAATTACATTCATAGGACTACGAAATATAAGTACAAGCGACTAGTGTTGGTGCTAATTTATAAAACTGCTAATAAGTAATAATATACTGCGTTCGTGCAAAGAAGTGACAACCTGCAAAGGAAAAACTGAAAGAAACCAAGGGAAAGTAATTTCTAGAAAAAGAGAGTATAATCACATTAAAGGTAGATCATACAGCGTGGTGTTGGCCAGTAGGGTTTCAGTTAAACCTAGATTAATCCTAAAATTTCAGCAAGTGATGAATGATCAGTGGCACATTTCCCAGTACCGAATACTTGAGGTATGATAAATTATGAATCTCACACAAACAAGTAAACAAGAATCAACAAGATATGCAAATGCATCCAAAAATGTGATAGAAGCTGAAAATCAGGTATGAATTCAGGCCGAATGATGAACGGGTGCACAATATGTTAGTTTGTTAACGAATTACTTCAGATAATATAAATAAAACTAAGATTTATCAAATCCCAATGTAAATGTTTTAGTAGGTTTATCCAACAACTGCCGTTTGCACAAAGGTAAATCAAGTTGCTTTTATGCATTAATGCAGCTATGTTGTCAGTGAACGATATCCTCTTCTTTCTTATTTTATTATCTCACGTACCTGGCCCAGCAGAGACTGCTAGGGCAGGAAATGCGGGCAGTAATTGGTTGGACATGGTATAATGCCGCCTTTGTCTTAGGTCCAAGTGTATTTCAAAGATCTTTGTCAACTCCTGGTCCGAAAGCCCGATGAAGAAGGAATACTCACTGGCTAATACTAACATCGGACCGGAGAATTGGGGGGTGTAAGAAGTCAGGAATGTGCGCGAAGTTGGAGGATTGGTAAGACCTGCGTTTGTGATAAGGCATAGATTTCTTTTTCATGCATTAAAAACAAATATTCCAAAGCAACTAGTGCGTATATAAATGATTATAAAGTAATAGCTGATAGTGGGTTTAGAATCATACTTGGGCAAACACACTATTGGTTCCTCGTCCATATGGGTTATAATTTTAAACGCCATACCAAATCATACGACTTAAAGTTTGAATCTAAAATTCAAAAGCACAATAATCTGCGTCAATGTAACTCAGAAGAAATTGCAAAAGTGCGGTACCTCGTGACATTCATTAGTAGACCAGAAATTCCGCGTCCATATTTTGAATGACCGCCATGGTTCAATGCTCTGGTATCTATTATCCTTCTGACCCTACTTGAAATGCCCGCAACTAAAAGGTTGACAGGATTTTCATGCTAATTTACTAGTATAAACGAAGGCTGGATTATTAACTGGTAGATAACATAAAAGATCGTTACGGTACACTTTTATTATTATTATAGTTTAATCCTGCTGTTCTCTTAACATTTATCAGCATAATTTGTTTAGTTGGATAGAAATAATTACCACTCATTTGTTGAAGTCACCTGCACTCGGGTAACACAAATTTATAAACATTTTTAGTTAGTATTGCTCAAGGAATGCATCCGCTGCGTTAGCAAAATAAACGCGTAATCAAGAGGAATAGTTTTCTAACACAAATAGGAAGTTCCCTGAACTGCGATGTTAATATGTTTATTAACAAATTAGCCAAAGGAAGCTTAGTCATGAGGTTTTAAAACGGTAGCCATAGAGTAAAATTAAGTGAAAGATGACCGCGGCTTTTTGTCGAGACACGTTTCAGACCAAAGATACATGGTTGTACTCAGCTAGCAAGTGTTGCTTAATGCTGTCACGCGCATAACAGGGGATTCTACCGCGAAGGACTACACAGGATAATTAAAGTTTTCCACCATTCGAATAGGTCAGCAAGCGCCGTGTACCAGACAGTGGCGGTCGGTCAACATGTCAAATTTACCTACACTATAATTTCTATACAGTGTGTGGTATATTTCCTTTGTGCCCTAAGTGATCGTAAAACACCACAGTGCCCACTGTAGGCACAAAATACTGTTATGCTACTATACACTTCCATATAAGGCTACAGCCGTCAAACAAATATGATTGTTTAGTCTTCTCTTAGCAACGTGAATTGAAAGGAAAACGACAATGGATAGTATACTTCCATCACTAAAAATGTTTGCTTTGACCTATACGAAATGTAAAGCACGGGGAAATGTAGTGTGTTTCGAATATCTTAGTCGACAGGAAGCCATTTCGAAGTTTGCAACTTCAGCTTACTGGGTAATTATATGACGCGTCGACATTTTTGTTTCCATTGACATCTAGGTTCACATGGTTGGAGTCCAACATATCACATACTGTTTACCGTGTCAGGTTTAAATAATTGTAACATAAATAAATAATTAAACCACTGAATTATTCTTAACGGTGCGAGCGACATCTTAAAAGGCATGATTATGAAAATACAGTGCCTAACAAATTGTATGGTACATACATTTTTCGTTAACTAGTACATACTGTATAGATGCGTAGGTGTATATTTGGTTATGTGTAGTATGCATGTAAATAAATAAATAAACAACTAAATATTTTATTCTTGACAAAGCGAGGCACTCCTTTTGGGCATGATCAGCATATTGCAATATTGTACATGATAGCAGGATTCGCAGCATCAAGCGCGGGAGTAGTACAGTTGGAGACAGTAGTGTGGGCCCATATGGCCCAAAGGTTGCACGAAGACGGTGTCCAAAGAATGCATAGACTGATAGGTGTACCGTGTTGAATACAATACTTGCAACAGATGTAGAGAGAAAAAGACAGTAGTGCCGGCTCCGGAAGTGACCTAGGGTAATGGAGTAGTACAGACAGCACCGCCAAAGTGTTTCACTCTAGGAGTTGCGATATTGAGCAGAGGAGGTGCGGAACAAGCAAACATTAGAGTATGGTTAAACGTAGGAGTGTACGTTCATGGATACATTGGAACATTATATTTAATGGGAGTAAAAGCTGGAGTTTTACCTAACCTATAGGGTATAAAGAGTTTGGACCGGGTCTAAGGAAAGTTCAAGCAAACTTATAGCGGGTTGGGCCCGCGTGTTAGGCGTATCTACCTCGGGTTTATGCGGCATTCAAACAGAATACACGCCGGATAAGTTATCATGTTGAGTGAAGTTGGTACCAGTACGGTTAGTTAAAATGTTTGTTCGGCGAATTCGCCAACCTATGCATGGATCAGATGAACTCGTTAAAATGGTTAAAGTTCTCTCAATGGGTAAAGTCCTCCGGTGGCAAAAGGTAATGACTTTAGTCAGCAGCGAGTCATATTCGCCACGTCACAGTGTTGTTAAACAGACTTGTGTTGCTTTTTTAGATATAAAGATTGCCAGACGAAAACCCACCACGTCCTGGAACACTGCTGTTCAAGTATTAGCTGAAGCGGGATTTACTCTAGCCACCCAACTGGCTTGTGTGGAGGTTATTCCGAAAGCTAGCCGCTAGGTGACTATTGCTACTTTCTTAGTCCAGATTTTATGCCGTTTCTACTTTATCTACTGTAGTTACACATGGTTTGCAAGGATAAGCTGACGGAAATTTTGGTCATGGCGACCAACCTGATTTATCTATTTGTTGAATTTAAACGCCGTGATAACGCTCAGATTCCCGACTACCTTCTTTGGACACAAACGTTCACCTCAACTAATACCATGCGTGAAGAAAGATTTAACGAAACCTTGACTGTTTTTGCTTGAAGCAAACCCCGAATAGTTAGTACAGCATATTGGGATCGTTGCTTCGTCACTCGACCATGACTGGAGCCAAAACACGACGCGTTTTTCATAATTCTACATAGTTGCATACTTTCTTCCTGGTAACCCTCTGATTTATTTAATGTTACTAATGTAAATTGATGAAAACTCACCGGTTTGGTACATAAACTTATACTGAAGACTTGACTATGTCGGCGCTGTATGCATGGCGTCAGCACGAGATATGTGGTCTACATAGCCGTAACCATCTCTCGGTTATTCGAATTCACTTTGACTGAGGCAACTTTGGTGCGCAAAGAGCAATCTCAATAAAGCTGGTCTAGATAACCGTGAACGCCGCACCGATTTCCTACGTTGGTATGCAGGTGGTGCCATTTCGGCGCGCTAAGGCTGAGGTAATCACAGGTACGGTGGTATATACGGAAATACTTAGCTATCAGATGCATTATTCTAACGAATAGCTAACGCTGGTACGATGTAGTAAGAGTTGCGCAACCACGTTACAAATAATTTTAGATGCAAAGCAAAGCTTTGGATTGCCTTTTCATGGTCAAGCGATGATGTATTTTTGAGTAAACTATCCTTCCACAGCCTAAAAGCAGGCGATGTAAACGACAGTCACCATATCTCATTCATTCAATCGTGTTTCGCAGCTAAAATTAGTTTAAAGCTGTTAAGTTGGGGCACTATTAGTAACGCTAGTCAACGGTACTGCAACCACATCTCAGCCCTTCGTTTATAGTTTGAAGTGGAAGCTACGGCGATGCAGTAAGCCTTTCTTATTTACTATATAGTGAGTCTAAAGTGTAACTATTTCAGTCTCTAATTTATCGAGGCGCACCGTATGAGACATGATGTAAATTTTATAAATAAATAAATAGGTATATTTCTAGACCTGCTAGAGGCTGCACCCTAAAGGGTTCAGATCAATGCTTACATAAATCCGATGCTCTTGCATGGAAGTAGGTAAAATATAAGTATATGTTCATCGTTAGCAATTACAAATGCATTGGCATTGTTTGATATACAGCTACTGGATCGCAGGCGCCCACCTTGACATGTTTCTGGTTCCTGCGGACGATATTGAACTCCTTGTTCTTTTGTGAAAACGTCGCGGAGGTGTAGTTGTGCCTTTTCTCCTTGGAACAGAATCCAATTCGCCGAAAGTGCACTTTAAATTGATCGCACATTAATTGGCCACTCAGTTGCCCCAATTGTGCGCACATGGAAGAAATGAGTGAAGGGATTATGAGGCATACGAAAAGTTGAAGACAATTCCGATAAATGCGGACAAAAATAGAAACAATTTGTTAAGAGAGAAAATAAAGCTGCGTGCTTCAGTAGAAAAATACCAATTAACAAAAAAATACAGCCCTACTTTTCTTACGCTGATATTGCTCTCCAGCGCAAAATTTCAACCTGAGTTATTCTCAGATAAAGGAAAAAGCCTTTCTACAGTTAGAATACCGCTTAAAGTGGCACAAAATTACACTGGTCTGGACCAGCTTTAGCGTCTGAATACGTTGAACGTAAAAGCAACACAATACGTGCAGCAGTTTGCGAGTTATTTGCAATTAAATGATGGTCTACGAATAAGGCCATTTTTATTTTTCGCTAAAAATGGCTTTCTGCTTTGCAAGCAGATAGCAGAAAAAAGAAAAGAAATATAAAAAGTAGGGAAGCGGTGTATGTTCTAGATAGGCATAGCTATCCAGAAATGCTCTAATTAGCCCGTAATACCCTGCGACAACTACGGACTGCGCAGGTGGCCGAAAAGTAAACTTTGCAGGCATACATGACAAATATATGCAGATAAGGGATGAGCTTGCGCCAAAACGCTAGAAATCCAACAAGGAATATTATATCTACATGGGAATTCAGGGGAGCTTGTAATTAACTCACGGTTAGAAGGCCACAGCATACCATTTTCAGTGGATACTGTGCCACATAAACAACCAGTAAAATAGAGTTTAGCATTTTTTGAGCCTCTAAGCTTTTCTAAAGCTTACAACAAGCCCGCATGAGCCAGGTCTACCTGAGTACCCCTGGGGATCTTTCAGATCCGTTGACAGATTCCGGCCTACGAAATACACACATTACTTAGCTAAACATCATAAGATTTATCCCTTAGAGCCGATTTTCTATATTCATGAGGCTCTGTCTCTAACGTCAGTGAGCTATAGGAGCCTGCCACCAATAATAAAGAAATAAGCATGGGAAAATTTAGTAAAATTTAGCTAATTGCCTTTGGGCGTGAAGTCCGTTTTGGTCTACATTGGTTGGGCTTTAACAATTCTACTTCTGGTGGTTGAGCTTGCTCAAACTTGAGGTATTGTTATGCCTCATGTGTAGATGCACGCAATTGTGCAGCTCTTTGATGAATTTCGATTTATTTCTCTCCATTTTTAAGTTCCGAAGAAAGTGCCGGCGGTGTTCATCCAGTTGGCAATGTTAACTGGTACTCTAATGTCACACCGAATATTTCTTTTGTGATTTTCCTGGCAAGAGCTGTTCTAGCACCCTAAGCAAAGAGCGATAAGGTAAATCAGGA